AGCACGTGCATCAAGAGAAGAGTACACTTAGGTGCCCTAGCAGCAGCTTTGTATGTAATTTTGGAGGTCTGAAGTCAGAAATGTGCCAATACAATATACTTCCTAACAAAAAAGAAATTACTCATTAATGACATAGTAAGATCATTGATGAGGGACCCTTGCAGGCTTACAGATGTGCTATCAAAATTTAATAAGAACATGAATTCAAAAAAATCTGAGGAATTATTATTATGCATATGTCAAACAAGGAGGTCAAAACATACAATTTGAACCAAAGAATGGCTCCTTAGCATTCTTAGTAAGCTTGCCCACAGTGTCTCTCAGAAAAAGGAGTGTTGGTTCTGGGGGACTCCGTGGGCTCTGGGCTCAGTTTTTAGCACAGTTTGGTCAACTGGTCAGAGTCCTTTAGGTTTATGTCAGAGAGAGAAACCAGTTCCAGCGTGGCACAGGGAACTAGGGGTCTTCTCTTTCTTCCATGTCCCCTTGTTTGTCCTTGTCATTTTATTATCCTGCTCAGTGTGACGTTGACTCTCAGGTCTCTTATTAAGAACCTGCAGATTAGAGGAAGGGAGGAAGACCCCTCCATACACACAATAGTGTTGTGTCTCTGTGCACACATCACAAGGGAGATGTATAGAAATATTTTTTAAAGCTCCTGCCAACGCATTAAAGAAATTGAAAGCTTTAAAAATTCTTAGAAAAATATTATTTTATATACTTAATGATTGAGCTTGCGCTGTATACAATGACACCCTGATGTAATAACAAGAGGATGGAGTACAACCTTGTGTTCTTAGAAATGACCTAGAAAGAACAGTTTTTAATCTACTCTGTCACAATCTAAGAATTGGAGGTGTCAGAGATGTAGATTTTTGAGACCTGTTAGCAATTAACACCCTTCTTTTATTGTCCTAGTTCAAAGATCTAGAAAGTTCCATAAGGAATTAGACACATTTATAGGGAATAAGAGCAAAAGAAAACTAGTGTGTTTTGGAAGACATCTTTTGTTTTGAGGAAATTTATAACATTTAAGAGATCATTTTATTGTGCCTGGTAAACTGATAGCAAGATTAAATATTTAAATATGGATTTAATTTGTGCCCAATAAATGAATCATGAGTAAGCCTGAAAGAGCACATAGCTTGGTGCAGGGCACTGCCTAGCATGTGAGGCGCGGGCTTGAGTTCCAGAAGCCTGTGTTAGTTAGGTTTTTGGAGAAATAGAATCAAGTAATTTATGTATTTATTTTAAGGAATTGGTATGTATTTTGTGGCTAGCAAGTCTAAAATTTATAGGACAGGACCCAAGCAGAAAACTTTAAGGTAGGAGTACAATTTTTGTTTGTTCTTGTTTTTATGTTTGTCAGGGGTTGAACCAGACGATGGTGAAAACTCAGTACTAGGCAAGCTCCTGACTGCTGAGCTGTCCCTACAGCCTGCAGCTCTGCCTCACCACCTCAGACCTGATTCTTCCTCAGGGAAACCTTAAACTTTGTTTTTAATGCCTTTCAGTTGATTGGTTGAGGTTTTCATAGAGTAGATTGTCAGATAGTCTTTAACTGACAATAAGTGTTGACCGAATCTACAAAGTACCTTTGCAGTGGCTCCAAGGCTAACCCAGTGTGATAGTTGAACCAAGGCTAACCCAGTATGATAAATAGTCTAGTCAAGGCTAACCCAATATGATAGATAGTTTAGCGAAGGCTAACCCGGTATGATAAATAGTCTAGCCAAGGCTAACCCAGTATGATAGATAGTCTAGTCAAGGCTAACCGGTATGATAAATAGTCTAGCCAAGGCTAACCAGTATGATAGTCTAGCCAAGTCAACACAGGAAGTGCACAGTCACTGTTCATATTTGGGTTAAGAAGGAACCTGAAGCAGATTTGCAGTTGGTTGGCAACCCTGCCGAGCCGGTGTTTGTAAGGCTCAGGACTGGCTTGTTACCACAGCAAGATTTTCCACTTCATGCATTCATTCACATTATCCTTTAATGTGAGCAAAGAGCCTTTTCTGTTACTAGGAGAAAGTGCAGGCAGGACTCACAGCATTATTTTGAATAAAGCAAAGTAGTATTTAAAAGATTAGTCCCGAGAAATCATCATGTAGAGGAGCTTTGAGTTTGGGGAAATTTCATTCATTATACTGAGGAGTGAAATAACAGCTTACTTGGGGTGAGCCTAAGAGTTGTTTCCTGTGTTTGGCTTTTGATTTTGTTACATTGTTTGGTTGCCCCCCCCATTTATTCATTTTTTTTAATTTTTTTTATTGAGAAAAGGAGAAAAAAAACATAAACAAAAAACAAGTTTCCACCTCCTCCCAGCCTCCCATTTCCCTCCCCCTCCTCCCACCCTTCACCCCCTCCTCCCACCCTTCTCCCCCTCCCTCTCCAGTCCACAGAGCAGTCCGGGTTCCCTGCCCTGTGGTAAGTCCTAGGTCCTCCCCCCTCCGTTCATATCTAGGAAGGTGAACATCCAAACTGGCTAGGCTCCCACAAAGCCAGCACATTACGTAGGTTCAAAACCCCGTGCCATTGTCCTTGGCGTCTCATCAGCCCTCATTGTTCGCCATGTTCAGAGAGTCCGGTTTTATCCCATGCTTTTTCGGTCACAGTCCAGCTGGCCTTGGTGAGCTCCCAATAGATCAGCTCCACTGTCTCAGTGGGTGGGTGCACCCCTCGTGGTCCCGACTTCTTTGCTCATGTTCTCCCTCCTTCTGCTCCTCATTGGGACCTTGGGAGCTCAGTCCAGTGCTCCAGTGTGGGTCTCTGTCTCTATCTCCATCCATCACCAGATGAAGGTTCTATGATGATATGCAAGATATTCATCAGTATTGCTCTAGGATAGGATCATTTCAGGTTCCCTATCCTCAGCTGCCCAAGGAACTAACTGGGAACCTCATCTTGGGCACTTGGGAGCCCCTCTAGGGTCAAGTCTCTTGCCCACCCTAAAGTGGCTCCCTTAACTAAGAATTGTGGTTCCGTGCTCCCCTATCCACCCTTCCTTTATCCCAATCCTCCTGCTTCCCCAAGTCCCCCCTCCTTCCCTTCTACCTTTTCTCTCCCCATCTCCCCTTACCCCCATCCCACCCCACCCCCAAGATCCCAATTTTCTCCCCGGCAATTTGGTCTACTTCCCTTAGCCAAGAGGAGATAACTATATGTTTTTCCTTGGGTTCACCTTCTTCCTTAGCTTCTTTAGGTTCACCTATTGTAGACTCCGTGACCCTTATTTATGGCTAGAAACCAATTATGAGCGAGTACATCCCATGTTCATCTTTTTGGGTCTGGGACACCTCACTCAGGATTTTATTGTAGAATTTAATGCTTGCCTTTGATTTAAAAGAAACTAAGTGGCTTAAAAGAGGACCCAGTAGAACTATGCCCTAGCTTTGCCTCTCCCATAGATAGGTGTGTGTGTGTGTGTGTGTGTGTGCGCGTGCTTGTGCTGTGTGCACTGTGGCAGTGAGCCAGCACTGCTGAGGACTGGGTAGGTTCGTGTGGATTGGCCAGGTTAGACTTGAATGAAATTCGTGCAGCTTGAGATTTTCAGGTCAGATAATTATAAAGTTCTCTTCCAGGTGTCATTTTAAGGTCTGGCATTTTGTGTGTGTACAAATATAAACTCTTTCCCCTCCTTTTTACTTTTGGGATGGTAGGAATGGAACCCAGGGCCTCACATGGGTCCCATGCTTCCTTCCTCTTCCTCTGCACAGGACCCTCTTCTCCTCTAATGTCTCTCCTGAATCCCGCTGACTTGGCAGTAGCCTTTGTTATTCCATCTCCATATTTCCCTTTTTACTTGGTGTTGTTTAAATTCAGAAAGCTTTCTTTGTGGAAATTGAACCAAATAATAAGACAATACAAACCCTGAGTTCAGCAGAAGTGATTTGCTTGTGATTAACCCTTGAGAATTGAGTCTTTGCCAGATAACGAAGAATATTTTTACTTAATCCTGCTCATTCTTTTCCCTCCCTCTCAACCAAGTGTTAATGAATTCCTATACAATTTATCTTATTCATCATGGTTTTTTAAAATGAAGCCTAAAGAGAGCTCATCAGATTTCCTACTTGAAAGGTTTTAGTCTGGCCCCTCAGCAAAAGGCAATTTCATATTTGTAATTGTTCAAGACAGCAACTTTGACATTCTAGATTTTTCTCTCATAGACCACACACAGTACCAGAAAATCTTTTTACCTTCAAAATACAAAAATCTTAACATCTTACCATTTCCATCACTAATCACTCATTTTTTCCTTGGATTATTTTAATATACTTCTAATTCATTTGTATGTCTCTTTTTTAACCCTGTATGGTTTTTTTCAGCATGATAACTAGAGATCCTTAGAATCTTATGATATATCAGACCTCTGTTGGAAACCATGGTGTCTCTATTGTTCATGGGAAAGCTGAAGTCCTGGTGTTCCTTGGAAGGCCCTCCATGGGGTGTCCAACCTGTGGGCTGCATGCAGTTTGGCCCAACACAAAATTATAAACTTACTTAAATTGTAAGATTTTGAGGGTTCTTTGCTTGTTTTTGTCTTTGTTTATTGTTGTTTTGTAGCTTGATTGCACAGCCCTGAATGTGAACTTTGCTAACACTATCATGTCACAATGTCAAAAGGTTGGAACGTGTGCATGTCACTTGGCCTCTCGAGCTTCTTTATTCCCTTTATCTGTTCTGTGCCTGCTGACCCGTTTGTTCCTTCCAGCAGCCCCTGCCTCCCTCAGCAGGTGGATCTCTGTGAGTTAGAGCCAACCTAAGGACAGCCAGGGCTACACATACAGAAACCCTGTCTCGAAAAACCAAAGTAGGGGGGGGGGGAGAAAATTAGCCAACAGAGCAAGCAGCATATATAATCCCATAGACAGTGTAGATATCTAAGCTGTATTCTTCATACTAACATTTGAAGGAAATGTATTTAATGTAATTATCATTGCTATTAAGGTGATTTACTTTCATAGGCTCGTGCATAACTCTAAATGTCTGTTTTCCATCCACAGGGAAGAAGGCTGATAGCAGTAGGACTAGGTGTTGCAGCTGTTGCATTTGCAGGTATGTTGTTTTGGTTTTGAGACATAATACGTTCCCCCTTACTCACCGATTATGGTTACTTAGCACTAATCAGTTGAGTGCTGGCTCAGTAGCTAAAGCACTTGCTGTGCAAGCCTGAAGATCCAAGTTCAGACAACCCAAACACAGCAAAGGTGTAACACTGTAGTCCATGTAATCCCAGTGCACAGTGGAAGATGCAAGCCTGAAGATCCAAGTTCAGACAACCCAAACACAAGCAAAGGTGTAACACTGTAGTCCATGTAATCCCAGTGCACAGTGGAAGATGCAAGCCTGAAGATCCAAGTTCAGACAACCCAAACACAGCAAAGGTGTAACACTGTAGTCCATGTGATCCCAGTGCACAGTGGAAGATTGAGACAGGAGGCTCCCTAGAAACTCCTAGATCACCTAGCTTGGCATATACAGCTGTTAACAGCAGAAAGATAATATCTCAAACTAGGTTAAAACTGGGGTCCCGCGTCCTAGTTTATCTTCTGGCTGTGTCATGGCCTCTGTGGTACCTAATTAATAAAGAAACCCAGCTGGAAAGATGGCTCCGCAGTGTGTAACACTTGATATTCTTCCAGAAGACTAGAGTTCAGTTCCTAGCACCCATAGCAGGCAGTTTACAGCTGCCTCTAACGCCCTCCAGATGAGCCAACTCCTCCTTTTGGCTTTTGTGGACACCTGCTCACAAATACACGTGCATACACCTAATAATAAAAAAGTCTTTAAAAGACAAAGAAGTGTGTTTTCTGTTGCTATTAACTGATCATGTGTTTATGTGCATGTATGTTGTATGAGTCTGGGCAGGCGTGTGTAGCTGGCAGGGGTGGCAATTTTAAAAGAATCAGTTCTTTTCCTACCACAGAGGTTCCCACCCAGGAGGAACTTAGGTTGTCAGGCTTGAACAAGTGCTCTTACTCCCACCCATCTCTGGGCCTAGAATTTTAATACAATGCAATGCAAGTGATGGAGGTTCCTTTATGCTCTTATATTTATGTGGACTTAAATATTTCAAGCTATCATTTTCTTTTTTATGACCTTTTTGATGTGTTCTTGGATTCAGTTTGTGAGTATTTTATTGAGTGTTTTTTATTAATGTTGGTGAGGGAAATTATTCTGTAATTTTCATTTTGAGTTCTTGTGTGGTTTGGATATCAGGGTGACTGTGGCCTCAAGAAACAAAATTCGTAATGGTTCTTTGTTGACAGAGGTTTCTGTCCCAGGTCCCACAGTCATTTAGTCTCAAATAAACACACAGAGGTCTACATTAATCATAAACTGGTTGGACTATTGGCTCAGGCTTCTTATTAATTCTTACATCTTCATTAATTCATTATTCTTGTCTGTGTTAGGCACATGACTTGGTACCTTTGTCAGCGAGGCATTCTCATCTTGTTTTCCCCTGTGTCTGGGTTACCACTGCAGACTGAGCCTTTCCTTTTCCCACAATTCTCCTGTTCTCATGGCTCCATCTCTACTTGCCTGGTTGCCCCGCCAATCTTCCTACCTAGCTACTGGCCAATCAGTGTTTAACTAAAAATAATACAAATGACAGGATAAAAGACCATTTTCCCACAGCAGTTTTTCTGTTTTACATTTTTTTTTATCTCAAAATGTATGTTTAGTTTATTGGATATGGTTGAAAATCTACAAAATCTATGAAAAAAAGTTAACTTAAAACTAGTAACACTGGGAATTTATAGTTATATATAGGTAATCTTTTTTTCTTATCGCATTCTGTTTTATTGTTTTTTACTGAGCTATACATTTTTCTCCACTCCCTTCCCTTCCCTCCCCTTCAACCCTCTCCTGTTACCCCCACATTTTCAATTTACTCAGATCTTGTCTTTTTCACCTTCCTTTTCTTCTGATGAACATAGCTATTCCTTGACTATTTCATTATCTTATAACATATTGACATAGTTTGTTTATAAACTCAGGATAATTTAATTCACTGCCATAGTTATCTTACTAGAAAAAGTAATTTTAAATATTAAACTTACTTATTCAGTCATTAATTTACAACTTTAAATTTTATACTTATTCCCTAACTAAATGTTAATCTGAGAATGTTTCCTTGTATTAGTTTTGTTTCCTGTTGCTTTGATAGAGTACCGTGGTAAACAATTCAGGGAATGGAGCGTTTGTTTTAGCTCACAGTACCGTGGTAAACAACTCAGGGAATGGAGCGTTTGTTTTAGCTCACAGTACCCGTTCCATTCCCATAACAGGGAAATCAAGATACCAGGACCTTAAGTCAGCTAGTCATATCCATAGTCAGAATAGAAAGAGAATTCCCGCATGCACTCCTGTCCTCAACAGTCTTTCTCCACTCTTCCTCAGTTCAGGATCCTTTGCCAAGGGAATGGTGCCTCCCCTAGTGGGCAGTCTTCGCACATTAGTTAACATATTGAAGTCATTTTCCTACAGACATGCCTGTAGGCTAACCTGCTCTAAGATGATCCTGTATTGAAACTATTCCCAGGATAGTGTTTTCTATTTCCATCCATTTGTATGCAAAATTCAAGAAGTCCTTGTTTTTTACTGCTGAGTAGTACTCTAATATGTATATATTCCATACTTTCTTCATCCATTCTTCCATTGAAGGGCATCTAGGTTGTTTCCAGGTTCTGGCTATTACAAACAATGCTGCTATGAACATAGTTGAGCATATACTTTTGTTGTATGATAGGGCATCTCTTGGGTATATTCCCAAGAGTGGTATTGCTGGGTCCAGGGGTAGGTTGATCCCGAATTTCCTGAGAAACCGCCACACTGCTTTCCAGAGTGGTTGCACAAGTTTGCATTCCCACCAGCAATGGATGAGTGTACCCCTTTCTCCACAACCTCTCCAGCAAAGGCTATCATTGGTGTTTTTGATTTTAGCCATTCTGACAGGTGTAAGATGGTATCTTAAAGTTGTCTTGATTTGCATTTCCCTAATCGCTAAGGAAGTTGAGCATGCCCTTAAGTGTCTTTTGGCCATTTGAAGTTCTTCTGTTGAGAATTCTCTGTTCAGCTCAGTCCCCATTTTATAATTAGGTTGATTAGCCTTTTACGGACTAGTTTCTTGAGTTCTTTATATATTTTGGAGATCAGACCTTTGTCAGTTGCAGGGTTGGTGAAGATCTTCTCCCAGTCAGTGGGTTGCCTTTTTGTCTTAGTGACAGTGTCCTTTGCTTTACAGAAGCTTCTCATCTCAGGAGGTCCCATTTATTCAATTAGGCCCTTAATGTCTGTGCTGCTGGGGTTATATGTAGGAAGTGGTCTCCTGTGCCCATGTGTTGTAGAGTACTTCCCACTTTCTCTTCTATCAGGTTCAGTGTGTTCAGACTGATATTGAGGTCTTCAATCCATTTGGACTTGAGTTTTGTGCATGGCGATAGATATGGATCTATTTTCATTCTTCTACAGTTTGACATCCAGTTTTGCCAGCACAATTTGAAGATGCTCTCTTTTTTCCATTGTATACTTTTAGCTCCTTTATCGAAAATCAGGTGTTCATAGGTTTGTGGGTTAAAGTCAGGGTCTTCTATTCGATTCCATTGGTCAACTTCTCTGTTTTTATGCCAATACCAAGCTGTTTTCAATACTGTAGCTCTGTAATAGAGTTTGAAGTCAGGGATGGTAATGCCTCCAGACAATCCTTTATTGTATAAGATTGTTTTGGCTATCCTGGGTTTTTTGTTTTTCCATATAAACAGGACCCAAAAAGAGGAACATGGGATGTACTCACTCATATTTGGTTTCTAGCCGTGAATAAAGGACATTGAGCTTATAATTCGCGATCCTAGAGAAGCTAAATAAGAGGATGAATCCAAAGACAAACATATAGGCATCCTCCTGAATATTAACCTTCATCAGGCAATGAAAGGAGACAGAGACAGAGACCCACATTGGAGCACCGGACAGAAATCTCAAGGTCCAAATCAGGAACAGAAGGAGAGAGAGCACGAGCAAGGAACTCAGGACCGCGAGGGGTACACCCACACACTGAGACAATGGGGATGTTCTATCGGGAACTCACCAAGTCCAGCTGGCCTGGGTCTGAAAAAACATGGGATAAAACCGGACTTGCTGAACATAGCGGACAATGAGGACTACTGAGAATTCAAGAACAATCGCAGTGGGTTTTCGATCCTACTGCACATACTGGCTTTGTGGGAGCCTAGGCAGTTTGGATGCTCACCTTACTAGACCTGGATGGAGGTGGGCAGTCCTTGGACTTCCCACAGGTCAGGGAACCCTGATTGCTCTTTGGGCTGACGAGGGAGGGGGACTTGATTGGGGGAGGGGGAGGGAAATGGGAGGCAGTTGCTGGGAGGAGGCAGAAATCCTTAATAAATAAATAAATTTAAAATAAAAAAAAGAAACTATTCCTAGGTGATTTAGACTATGTCTAGTTGACAATTAAAATTAACCATTACACTATGTTATTTAAATTTTTGTTTCTAAATTCTGTTTGATTATATTAATTGCATTTTTCTTTTGATAAAGTTACATTCTGTTGTGGTGTCATAGAGTGAAATTCTAATAAGACAATGATAGTTTTATTGGGTTCTATACATTATTTAATTTTACACAGTTCCCATTTAAAATAGTCAGATCTTAAAATCAACAAGACCTATGATTCACACCCTTCGATCTTTTTGCCAGCAGGGCTTTGTACCAATTTCATAACTATGGTTAACTACTACTGAGCTTTCATGAGACAAAGATAATGTTTTTAAAGAAATCCTGACAGTTGTCATAAACATAAACCAATTTTAGAATAGGCATAATTACTAAATTAAACTGTGAGCTTTTCATTTTAATTTAGAAAAAAATGTTTCTTACCTGCTTTTTTCTCAGACAATGGCAAATTTGTATGCATATTTTATATAGAAAAATTCATGTTACAAATTAGCATAGCAAAACTTGCCCAGAGCCAAATAAAACTGAGTAAAAACTTAGGGAAGCTGTAGTTGCCATACTTCCGGAAATCTGTTGCAGCTGGATCTAGTTTCTGTTTAAATGGATCTCCAGACATCACATCCCGAAGCCTTTATCTGTTTTTGTCACTTGTTTCGTTTCACTAAGGCAGGACTTTGGTTGCTGTGCCTGGTTGTGGTTTTGAAGAATTTTGAGGTGATTTGAAAGTGGTGTTCTATGTATGGATGATCGAGGTGTGCGCTTTTCCACTGGGATTAGGTTTGTGGTGTCTTACACAGTTTTCTAGCAAAGCCTTCCGAGGGGCATGAGTAGAAAGTGTGCCTGCTGATGCCACTCTTGTGCGAAGCCCTCAGGATGACTTTAGGATCTGCTTTGCTTCAGAGTCAATGCAAGGGAATATTAGGATGCTTAAGAAAGGGAAATTAAAACAAGATTTTAGTCCCGCTTCAAAAACTCATAGTTTTAGAACAGAAACTCATATTCTCAAGTTATGCATCTTTAGAGAATTTATAGGCAATCCCTGGAAAAGACCAGTTTAGCAATTTTGTTTTAACATCTATCATTTCCTGTCACAGGCTCTTTTCACTATCTCTAGGCATAATATAAGTACAGGTTTTCTATTTGGGTATACAATGCCTAATCAAATTCACATTTTAATGATCAATTTAGAGACATTTACTCCAGTATGATACTTGAGATTGTAGAAATGTACATTTGAATCATTATTTTAACTCTTTAGACTTCAATAGTAATTACAGTCTGTAAAATATCAACTTGAAGATAATTTCCAAACTCTTTTCAGGTATCTTTGAGATAGGAGTGATACTAAGTTTTATTGATGAGAAGTCACTGGAATCTGACAATTTCTAAATGACCACCAAAATAAATAAATAAATAAATAAAGATAAGAATTTAGAGAAACTGAAGACCCGAAGTGAGAAAAACAGATAGCTAAATCTTTAAGAAATAGCTTCACGTGTTGTTTCTTACTCTGCCGGTTACTCTACTAAATGCACTTCTTATCTTGTGTCTTAAAGAAGTGTTTATTTTCAACAACCAGGAAGTGGTAGTGCACGCATTTAATCCCAGCACTTAGGAGACAGAGGCAAGTGAATCTCTGTGAGTTCGAGGCCAGCCTGGTCTACAAGAGCTAGTTCCAGGACAGGCTCCAAAGCTACAGAGAAACCCTGTCTCGGAGGGGGAAAAAAGTGTTTGTTTTCTATATATTTTAGTGTGATTACCATCATAAATGGCAATGCAATATGATTAATCATTTGGTATCATGAGTATTATCAGCCATGTCATTTGTTCTAGTCAGTTTATTATGAAAAGAGTATTAAGACGTTATTGTATTCTGTAAGATTGTATAAGTAAAAAAAGTGTTTATGCCTATAAACACTGAAAATTTCTAATTTTATTATCATGAACTAGAACTTGGGACATGTATTGGCTATGATAATATTAAAGTCAAAGTCTGTGTGTCTACTTAGTAAATCAGAAGTTTGAAAAATAGTAATTCTTTCTGATAAAGTTTGAAATAGCATTTGTATCAATAAATGATGCATGATAAACACCTTAAAAGTAATGTTGGCATTGATTATGAGAAATATATTAGTATGTATTCCATTTCCTGTTTAGGTCGCTATACATTTCAAATCTGGAAGCCTCTACAACAAGTAATCACCGAAACAGCAAGGAAGATTTCGTCACCGGTAAGTTAACTGGGGCTGTAATTAGAACATGCTTGGATGTTTGTTCTTTGTACTTGAAAGCAACTCAGAGCATGTCTTAGGCTTCCCGCATAGAAGTTGGGGGGCTGTGGTGGGGAGTAGAAGTTCACTTCCTCACAGTATTTGTGAGTCTGTCTAGTCTATGGATTTAGTTTAAGTTGCTTAGTCAAATGATTTTTATGCGTGGACTTTTATTTCCAGTTTTGACGACTCTTACACTCCAGCTGGTATTGGACTGACCGCTAGGTGACTTGGGGTCTGTTCTGTTGTTTTGAAGCAGGACCTCGTGTATCCTGGGCTGGTCTGAGCTCTTTGCTCCTCTTGCTCCCATCTCCCAGGTGGCTGGCTATAGACATGCACCACCACACCTAGCCTCTTTGGGCTTTTGTTTTTTGAGATAGCATCTTACTGTTTTGGACTTTGAACTCTCTTGGTCCTCCAGCTTCTTATAGCAAGTATTGAGATTACAGGCATGTGACAGCACACCTGTCTTATTTTTCCCTTCTAACTAACATTATTTACTCAATAAACATTTAGTGAGTGTGCCCATTTACCAATCTGTGTGCCAGGAGATTAGAACACCAATTGAGTAAAGCAGACAAAGCTTCTGCCCTAGTAAAGCTTATGCTCAGCTCATGTATCTCAGCTTGAAATTTGAACCTAGTCCCCTGTGTCACTGCACCTGACTGTCTCAAACACAACACTGAAAACTCCACCATGAAATCCTATAAGGCTATATATAAGTTGTGAAATATTTTAATAGATATGTTACATTCACTTATGCTGTGGAACATTTGTTTAATGATGCAAAGATGTGTTGCATTCTTTTGTGTTGCTTTTGTTTAACTCTGTGAAGCTATGTTATTTTGCCTGTCTAAAACACCTGATTGGTCTCGCTGAACTTCAGGCCAATAACTAGGAAGGAGAGGAATAGGTAGGCTGCCAGGCAGAAGAAATAAATAAGGATGAGAGAGAAGAGGAGCGAGAAAAGAAGGGAGGCGATGGGAAGGAGGGTGCCAGGGGCCAGCCACATAGCCAGACATAGAGTAAGAAGTAAAGAAAAATATATAAAATAGAGAAAGGTAAAATCCCAGGGGTAAAAAGGTAGATGGGATAATTTAAATGTTCTTAAGTTTTGAAAAGCTGGCTAGAAATAAGACAAGCTAAGGCCGGGCATTTATAAGTAAGAATAAACCTCCGTGTATTTATTTGGGAGCTAGGTAATGGGCCCTCAAAAGTCTTGAAATAAGGGCGGCGGGCTGCGTCCCTGGCACCCGTCCGCCCCCACTGCTAGCTTTACCCGAAATAATTACACGGAAACTGTATTCTTTTAAACACCGCTTGGCCCATTATATCTAGCCTTTTCTCAGCTAACTCTCGCACCTGGACTAGCCCATTTCTAATAATGTATGTAGCCCACGAGCTGGCTTACCAGGAATGATCTTAACCTGCATCTGTCTGGAGTGGGAGAACCATGGCGACTCCCTGACCCAGCTTCTTTCTCCCAGCATTCTGTTCTGTTTACTCCATCCACCTAAGGGTGGGCCTATCAAATGGGCCTAGCAGTTTCTTTATTGCTTAATCAATGAAATCAACAGATTGATATATGACACTCCCACATCACAAAAGTAAAAAGTAAAAACAAAAAACAAAAAACCCTACACGTTCATTTTAGCAGAATTCTAGATATTCTTATAAACTTAAGAGAAATGCAGAATGAAGGAAGATAGGTATTAAAAAGCTACAGTTTGTGTTGGGAGCTGGAGAGTTGGCTCAGCAGTTAAGAGCACTGGCTGCTCTTCCAGAGGACTTGGGTTCAATTCCCAGCACCCACATGGCAGCTCACAACTGTTTGTGGCTCCAGTTCCAGGGGTTCCAACACCCTCACATAGACACAACAACAATGCACAGAAAAAAATTGATAAAACTAAATAATTTTTTATTTTTTTTAAATATTTATTATGTATACAATATTCTGTGTGTATGCCTGACGGCCAGAAGAGGGCGCCAGACCTCTTTACAGATGGTTGTGAGCTACCATGTGGTTGCTGGGAATTGAACTCAGGACCTTTGGAAGAGCAGGCAATGCTCTTAACCACTGAGCCATCTCTCCAGCTCCCTAAATAATTTTTTAAAAAGCTTCAATATGAATTGTAGTTTGCAATCGCAGAAGAATATACAATGAAGACTCACCAAGTTGCTGTACTGTAAGTAGTGACTTTTGGAAAACAGAAGCAGATCTGGACAAGATCTTCTTGGTCTGTAGATGTTTGAGAGTGAGTGACTTGTTTTAGCAAAAACCATTACAGCCCTGTGGGGCTTAGTTAATGACAGCCCTTCCAAAGGATGACATTATGACAAGTAATTCAGCCCATGTTCAAAAGAGTAAAAGAGTTTCTAAAGTCTATGAATGTATGTCTGATTACAGAGTATAGGTGTGTTTTCTGTTTCCCATTTATGTTCAATTTGACTAACATGTTGATGGGTAAATATTCAGCTCTTCCTCAGTTAGTATTCACTGTGTGCCTGCTTCATGACAGATATTGTAGGCAGTGGAATATACTCATAGACCAAACATCCTTTTCTCTAGGAGCTTACATTTTACATTTTAGTATAGATAAGCAATTTAAAACATGAAGGTGTGTCATTTCTAAAATTATCAAGTATCATTAACCAATGCCTACCAGGGTAGGAAACAAGAATGCTGGAAGAGAAGGACCTTCGTATTATCTAGGCCAGGCAAAGCCTTTTAGGAGATGCGGACATGGACCATATGAGCATCAGAAAGAAGAGTGTTCTGGGCGGTAGGGATACCAAGAGGCCCCAAGGTGGAGTAAGCAGAGCAGCAGGGTAATCCCAGTGACATCTGAAGAGAAACCAGCTCAGGCCCAGGTCTCTTAGGGCCATTGACCATGACAGCACCTCTCAGGTTTTTTTTTTTTTTTAGTTTGGAAGATTTTGAACAGGGGAAAGGACACTGTGGCATGTGTTTTTAGGTTATCCTTTGTCCTGGCAGCTGCTCAGAGTGTAGGCCAGAGTGAGCCAGAGCAAAGGCTCTGTGGTAGTTGAGAGGGAAAGCAAGTGAGCACGATGGGCATTGTGACAGGCTTCATGGAGTGCTGGGTGTTGTCTCTGTCTTTCCATGTGTGTCGCTTGTAACCGGAGACAGATTTAGGAATTGTCTTGTCTGTGCTGTGGTGATCGTCTGTAAACATATGGACACATAAGGAGAGAAAACCTTGAAGCTTTATGGAGCACTGGATTACTTAATGTTGCAAAGAAGAAAAAAGGGCATTGAGGATATCACCACTGCGCTGCTCAGTAGAGGCCTGCCGCAGGGCAGGCTGGCTGGTAAGGGGCATGCTGCAAGACTTCCCAAGGAGAGGGAAGTGGTGGATGTGCCACCATTTTCCTTGTGATGACTTTTTAAAATTTTTTTTCTTTTTAATACAAAATGTGATTATAGTTTATAAGGAAACAGTTTAGAATATCTTAATCATCGTCATTTTCAGGAATAATGTGTTACATATTCGCCACTCCAGAGAAACTGAAACATGAAGTGTGTGCATAGCTTCTCTTCACACTGAGTCCCAGATGCCACACTTCATAAATGCAGTGTTACAGGATTCGATAAGTATTGATTTTTAAACCAAATTGGGTTACTAAGAGAATAGGAAGTGTAGTTGTTTCCCGCTAACTAACTCCTTCGCGGGTCAGTGTCCACCAGGTCCATGGGCTTTCGGTTTACTGTTCTGTATTCTCTACTTTATTCAAGTTTTCTGTCTGTTCTTAAGTCTCATTCTTCTTAGTCATATTTAAAACTTATTATTGGGATACTGACTGGAGTGTTCATCTGTGTACGTGGACGGTGAATGTCTTCACTGTGTTTGTGCTAATTGTGTTGCCCTCACAATTATTGTCAGTTATTAACTCTTTGCTGCTTGAAATCTAATGATCCCAGCACAACAGAGGCAGATGCCCCTGCTGGCGCTCAACTTCATTACCTTCCTTGTCCCAGCGTGGTCACGGCCAGAGTTTCTACTGGTAACCTGATTTTTACACCCGGGCAACCTGTTCTATAGTTTCCTTTCATTGATTTGGAGTTTCAATTTTCTTTAATTATTGAATCTTACTATTTCACAAAGATTCTTAATGAACTGTAACTTCCTAGAAGATTTTCTTTTATTCTTTCATAGTTCTATGTTCTTCTTTGATTATTTCCTCCCTCTGTTGAGTCTTTCTTTCTAGAATTTCGTATTAGAAAGATGCTGGGCATCTGCATCTGTCCTGTAGTGTCTAGCTATTCCATCTCACTTTTGCTCCTGACTTTCTTCTATGATCTGCAATTCTTCCTCAGTTTGTTTTGCAGATTCTCCAGGCTGGTGGTTAGCTATGGCCATTCTTTAAAACAGTTCTTCTGGCCGGGCGGTGGTGGCGCAGGCCTTTAATCCCAGCACTCGGGAGGCAGAGGCAGGCGGATCTCTGGGAGTTTGAGGCCAGCCTGGTCCACAAGAGCTAGTTCCAAGACAGGAACCAAAAGCTACGGAGAAACCCTGTCTCGAAAAAAAACAAAAAAACAAACAAACAAACAAAAAAAAAACAGTTCTTCTGAATTTTTGACAAGGGAAATGTTTGAAGATTGATTTTATTTTTAATTATGTGTATGTGTGTGGGTTTGTCCACATATGAGTACAGGAACCTAAGGAATGTGTATTGGGTCCCCTAGGACTAGATTTACGGGCAGGTGTGAGCTACCTGATATAGGTCCTCTGCAAGAACAGATGTGTTCTTAACTCTTAGCCATTTTTGGGGAGGTGTGCTATGAGGGAAAATTGTCCTTTCTAAGAACTCATTTTTATTTCTTCTTCATGGTAATGCAGTTGTTTTCTTAGTCAGGGGGAAAACCCAGGCTTTGACCCTTGGGTTCTGATTTAGAAGATTATAGAGAGGGCCCCTCTTTGCTGAATGTTTTCTTCTTGGTTTCCTGGGGAGACTTTATTCTTTCCTAGTGTTTTTATTTTTGCTTTGTTTTTCCTGATATTTGGAGTTGCTGTAATGATTCTTTTGTATATTCAGTCTTTCATAGTTTTAGATATCAGTATTTGTTTAAACGTTTTGGCTAACTACTTATTTCTTATTTTCATATCTGTTGTGGCTTTCTCTTATTAAAATATTTACTTTCTCACTTCTAAGGCTCTTTGAGAGACAAAAAACCTTTATAATCCAGTCTATTATTTTGAACTAGTGCCCCTTTGTTTGCTACTTAAAATGTATAAATGAATACTAATTGGTTCAACAAATGCCTAATTGCTTCTAAGTTAGGATTGAAAGAGTCCCGAATCATTTATCTTCTTCAAGGCTTTTTATTTTCTGTTTGTAAATTTGTCTTTTACTTGAAGTCATCCTTCTGTGGCTCTCTAACTCAGGTAGGTCATTATTAATCGCTTCTATGAAGTTCATTTCCTCACCTAACACTGTGAATGATAACCATTCTTACCTGGTTTTCTGGAGGACTATTCATGTTACAGACTAAAATAGGTACTGAAGATTTGTTTGATTTGATTCATTTTAGCCCTCCTATGATAAGGTGACATCATAGTTTATTACTAATTTTAGAAAGAAATGAATGTCATCCCTGTTGTTGCTTGTGTGTGCTTCTGGATAGGATAGTACAAAATAATAATTTGTACATTCCAGGGTGTAGACAGTATCTTCTCTCCATTCTCAATGACATAATTATTACTTGTAATATCGTTGTCGTAGTGTTTCTGTTGCTGTGAAGAGATACATACCACGGCAAACGGCAGCTCTTAGAAGGAAATATGTAATTGTGGTGACTCGCTTACAGTTCAGGGGTTCAGTCCATTGTCATAATGGCGGGACACGGCAGCATGCAGGCAGACTTGGTGCTGGAGAAGGAGCTGAGAGTCCTACATCTTGCAGGCAACAGGAAGTGGTCTGTCTCACTGAGTATGACTTGAGCATTTATTAAACCTCAAAACCTGCCTGCTCCATGACACTTCCTCCAGCAAGACCACACCTCCTCATAGTATCACTCCTTGTGGGGGCCATTTTCTTTCAAACCACCACAATCATATTTATGGATCTGGATGTTTCCTTTGAATTATAGCATTTTCAGAGAATGGATTGCAACATATTAAGGCAAGATTTTCTCGGGAGAAATGCATCTGTATTTTAGCTGAACAATACAAGCTTCCATTTCCGCTCGTCTGCTTTTCTGTGTGTTGATCATGTGTTACGTTTCTGTGTGCAAAACAATGTTCTGTTAGAGAGGTGTGATGGTTTTCTATGAAGACGTTCACTTATTTATAGTAAAGACTGTTGCAAGGCATGAAGGTCTTATAGATGCTGAAGGAGACTTTTCTGCGGTCACGTTCCCACATAGTGAAAAGTTAAAGTAGCATAGATGCTTTTAAGGTTAGTGACTTGTGACTATAGAGGGAGTGACAGTTTGGGGGACATCAAATTATCTTATGCTGATTTAAAGTCTTAGAACTTCCTAAGGTAGATGAAGACTCAGAAATACCTTTTTTTTGTAAAGAAAAACTTTATCAGCCTTAAGCTTGAATTAAGACCAAAATCAGAACAAACTGCTGTAGAAATGACTGCCATAATCAACTCAAATAACCATCTTTCATTTCGGGATAAGGTTTGTCTCTAGGAAAGATGTTGGTATACTAAGAGAGCCTGTAAGACCATCTGGCCTTCCTCTATTAAGTACCCATTTTTCTCCAACTCTGGCTCGAGGTTACTCCCGTCTGCTGTAACAGTCTCTGTGTGTTCTGTTTCTGTAGTGGGTTAGACCTGATATGACACTTGGAACAGGGCATGTTCCTCCTCACGGCCCTGTGAGGTTAGTGCATCCGTGTCTGGTAAAAGACGGCCCTTAACATGTGTGCTTAACGCAGATCACCACCAGAGAGGGGGCTGCGTCTGTACTCAGCCAGCACTACACTCTGTTTCTTGCCATCATTCCTTAAATCCAGTATAGCCACTCTTTATTTGCATAACATTTACATTGTTTTAGTGATCTACAGGTGATTTGGGCTCCATAGAAGGATGAGGGCATCTTGTTTGCAGATACTACATTGCCATTTTATATAACAGACTTGTCCACCTAAGAATCTCAATACATTCGGTTCTGGAAGCAATCCCTGTACTATAGTCAGTGACTATACTTCTTTGCTCTGTATGAAAATGTGACTTCTGCCTAGAACTGTGTATTAGCTTAATCATATATGCCATGTTTCTCTCTAAAGGCGGAGTTCATACACCGTTCCTTGAGAACTCCTGAAAAATAATTGCTTTTCCTCGCTGTCTCCTGATTTCTTGCTCTCTCCTTTTTGATTTCTTGTTTTTCTCCCTTTGAGGCAGGATGTTGTTGTGTAGCCCGAGGGAGCTGTGATTTGTGGGTGTGTGTGCTTTTCCTGTCTCCTCCTTCCAAGTGCTTTGATCTCAGCTGTGCAGCACCATACCTGGTGGTTTCAGTTTGTTTCACTTGCTTCTGTTTCTTGAGACAGGTCTCTCTATTCAGCCCAGGATGGCTGAGCTGGAACTTTCAGTCCTTCCTCTCCTTTGACCTTCTCTTTGCTAATTTCTGGGGTCAATTCTCATATCACATTTTCTTTTACCCACCAGAAACATTTGAAACCACTTTTCACTTCCTCGCTTTCACTTGCAGCTTTCTTCCTGTGTCAGCGCGGTCTTGGAGAGGTCTTTACTAATCCCTCGACAGTTTCAGGCCTGTTGCAGACTCGGGTTCAGTCTGTACTTGCTCTCCTTAGGCAGTCTTGCTCAGTCTGGCTTCACTAAGCAACGTCCCCACTGAGGATTCTCAAAGACTTTCTCTAGATTGAACTGCTTTTTCACCTAGAAATTTGATAGACGCTTCAAATTTACTACATTGAAAACCATCCTCATTGTATGTATTTCCCACAACTGATAACTGCTCCTCCTTTTAGCCATTAAATAGCAGTGTGGCAGTTCTAGACCAAAAATCTTAAAGCCGTTTACATGGTGTAGGTTCTCTGAAAAGCAAACTTGGGCAAAAATTGGCAAGCTGCAAGTGTAGGAAACAGTCTGTGACTCAGCATCCTTCCAAGAAAGACAAGGTTGGAAAAGCCAGTTAGGTTGTAGCGCAGTCTTAACAAACCTGGCCTCACGGCTACCAAGGTTCATTTGGTTAGAAGAGGCCTATGAGATTAACGTCACCTGGGAGGTCAGTGTAGGGGCACCCAAGACCTGACCTTGGAGAACTATGGCACTTATCACCTCAACAAGTCTTTCAGGTCCAGGCTGCTCCGCTGCTCAGCGGTCCTAAGGAGGATTCAGGACAGCGATAACTTGTCTTCTGCATCATTTGTAACTCCTCTTTATGTCATATCCCGTATTAGTCCACCAAGCAAACGATTGCTCTCAAAATACATGAAAAATGTGATTGTTTTCACATCCCCAGCTGCTGCCTTGGTAGTTTATAGTCCTGTTCTTTAATTGGTCTATTCTGCCCTCTTTCTTTTCTACTTTTCAAACTCAAACTAATCCTTCCATAACAAAGCCAAATTTTCAGAATAGAAACCTCTTTCCATCACTAACCAGGCCTTTCACAATCAGTTCCCATTGCTTTGTAAGATTCCTAGCTTCCTAGCTCACACTCCATAGCCGCCATGGCCATTTCACGCAGTTTCCCAGCCTCTCTTGGCTTCCCTGTCTGTTAACATTACATGTCCTTTCTCTGCCAGCCAAGATAAAGGCAAACAGATCCCGGCCTTAAGTGACTTGGTCAAGGCTACCCAATGAGAAAAGCACTTCAGTGCTGGGGGAAAGCGTTGACATTGTGCTGATCTCTGTCCTTCAGTTATCTCAGTGGAGAAAAATGAACGCATTGTAAAGTTGAAAACATGGTTAATGTTTTTTACACTCATCTTGGTTAGAGTTTCATAAAAGGATCGTTGTGTAGTGCCTTCCCCGCAATTTCACGTTGATTTCTAATAAAATGCATTGCTCCTACTGTAACGCTGTGAGGGGATTGAGGTCATGCTACCCCGTGCATGGAACTAATTATTTTTTGCCCTTTCTTTCCTGTGCAGAGTCTTTCATCCTACTATAAAGGAGGATTTGAGCCGAAAATGAGTAGGCGAGAAGCTAGTCTTATTTTAGATGTAAGGTAAGGGCTGCATAAGTAGTTTTGTTTTGTGCAAAGATTGTCTTGAAAATTGGAGGGGAGGGATTACAGTAAGTTTGTGCTTATATTTAAAATTTAAAAATAAAACCCAGAAGAGACATAGCACTTTTCTTTTTGCCTTTTAAAAATTGAGGTCTGGCCAGGCATAGGTGGTGCACGGCTTTAATCCAAACATTCGGGTGGCAGAGGCAGGCGGATCTCTGTGAGTTCGAGGCCAACCTGGTCTACAAAAGCTAGCTCCAGGATAGGCTCCAAAACTGCAGAGAAATTCAAGTCTACCCATTGTGACACTGATTTCTCTCTGGACCAGTTTTGAAATTTGATGCATCTCTTTAATTATAACACATATTTCTTTTCTACTTCTGCATTTTGATATATACCATATATTATTTTACTTATTCTACTTTATTATTGATTGACTATTTATTATTAGACATTATGGGAAAAGAACTAGTGATATTGTGTGGTTACCGTTAACATTAATGTCAGGATTGTTTTCTTTTATTATAAATTTACCAGAATCTGTATTCATTTGTCTTTCTTATTGTTCCTTAGAGCATATTCTCAAGGGTTTTTGTTGTGTTGTTGATGTTTGTTTTTGGTTTTTGCAGTGCTAGGAATTAAACCTAAGTAAGGTCCTAAATGTGCTCGGTAGGCATTATACCACTAACCTATGTCCCCAGCCATTAGAGTTTTGTAAACTTTATAAACTAGGCTGGCCTTGAACTCATAATCTTCCACATCCCAAATTTCAGGGTTAGAGTTGTCCACTGTACACAGAACGGGTTATAGTATATCATCTACTGTACACAGAGTGAGTTAGTTATCGTGTATTATCCACTACATGCAGAGAGGTTACAGTGTGTCTTCCACTGCACACACAGAGTTGTTACAGTGTCATCCACTGCACACAGAGCTGTTACAGTGTCATCCACTGCACACAGAGCTGTTACAGTGTCACCCACTGCACACACAGAGCTGTTACAGTGTGTCATCCACTGCACACAGAGCTGTTACAGTGTCGTTCACTGCACACAGAGCTGTTACAGTGTCATCCACTGCACAGAGCTGTTACAGTGTCATCCACTGCACACAGTTGTTACAGTGTCATCCACTGCACAGAGAGCTGTTACAGTGTGTCATCCACTGCACACAGAGTTGTTACAGTGTCATCTCCACTGCACACAGAGCTGTTACAGTGTCATCCACTGCACACAGAGTTGTTACAGTGTCGTCCACTGCACACAGAGTTGTTACAGTGTCGTTCACTGCACACAGAGCTGTTACAGTGTCATCCACTGCACACAGAGCTGTTACAGTGTCGTCCACTGCACACAGAGCTGTTACAGTGTCGTCCACTGCACACAGAGCTGTTACAGTGTCATCCACTGCACACAGAGCTGTTACAGTGTCATCCACTGCACACAGAGCTGTTACAGTGTCATCCACTGCACACAGAGCTGTTGCAGTGTGTCATCCTCTGCACACAGAGCTGTTACAGTGTCATCCACTGCACACAGAGCTGTTACAGTGTCATCCACTGCACACAGAGTTGTTACAGTGTCATCCACTGCACACACAGCTGTTACAGTGTCATCTACTGCACACAGAGCTGTTACAGTGTCATCCACTGCACACAGAGCTGTTACAGTGTCATCTACTGCAGACTCTGTGGTGACTTAATGAGTATGATTAAGCGGAAGAGTTAAAGTGCTATAGTGACAAAAGAATGTCTTGTAGCTCCATATAATCTTTAAGCCCAAACATTTTTATGACCTGCTTTAAACAGATAAATAAATAAATAAAAGAACTATAAAAGAACTGTGAACTCTCTAGGTAGTTTAACCAGTCAAGGTGCCTGCCGCTGCCACCAAGCCTGGTGACCTGAGTGTAGTGCAATCCAATTCGACCTGGACTCACATGAACTCATTCCCAAACGTTGTCCCCTGGCTTCTACATCCATACTGTGTTGCGCACACACCTACACATACCTACACACACACACACACACACACACACAGAAGAAGAGAGAGAGATACATGGATACAAATAATAAATACAGTAATAATTTTTAAATACTGGAGCTTAGCTTAGTGCTTTATCTAAATCTAAGAGATGGGAGTTTTTCTTGTGAGAGAAAGTAGTGGATAGAATTAAGCAAAGGGACCATGTTAGTTAGCTAACTATTCCTTGCTTAGTATTACTCAGATAGTATTATTTTCCTTAAACTTATTGGCTGAGTTTACTGCAGACTTGAGAATGTTATTCAGTTCCACACACCTTATTTCTCCCACCCGCCCCAGCCTCCCTTCTCCTGCCAGTCAAACATATTCAAGGGAACACTTTGTCCGGGCTACAAAGAAATCATTAAAATGTGGCAAGGACTTAGAGTTTTAATGTAGTAAAACCAAAGGGGAATAAAGTTACGTAAATGAAAATTCTCCCCTCATCTTCAAAGCTCACCGCTGAGATCATTGTCTTAAAGGCAGTGACTTTCAACTGCCATGTTTGTGTGCATGAACTTTGTGTCCATCTGTTTGCACTTTAATCTAGTCTGATGGGTGGCCGACCTCAGTGGACACAAAACTTCAGGTTTTGTGTAGAAAAGAGTTACTTTTTTAAAAACAGGCAATGTAATTGATTTTCAAGGATATTGTAACTGAAGTAACATTCATACTTTGTTTCATGTGTTCAATTAAAACTTGATATCCAGAGTAAAAACCAACATACCATGTTTCTTCAAATATATACAACCGAAATTTGTGTTTTTCTAAATTACTAGCCATTATTTAGTGATTAGCTTTCTGTAGTACAGTTTTGTGAAGCTCTTTTTATGGGTTTCTAATTTTTATAATTAATAGTTTTTTTAAAAACATTGGTATTTACTAGGCTACAGCCTTTGTTCTAAGGAATTTGCTTGCTGTGATTGTTGGTCTTGGTTTGGGATTTTTGGTTTTTGTGGTTATTGTTTTTGGGGTGCTATGCAATCCATCAAGCACCCATTGCATACTCTGTCTGAGATAATGTCTTAAGGTGCAGGTTGTAGACTGTGCTGTAGTCATTTACATGTACATGTCAGACATCCAGAGCTGCAAGACAGTGTGACTAGTGTAGAGGTGCTGGAGAGCGCCTCATGCAGAAAGGGTCAGTGTATGTCAGCACAGGAAGTGGACTTGTACTGGTTTTCAGAGTGATGTGGTTTTCATTTCCTAAGCAATTAAATCAAGTAGTGTCCTTAGCTCTTGTGAATATCTGATTGTCACCCTTTGAAATAAAACAGTATCTATTTGAGAGCTACCTAAAAGTTGACTTTAAAAATGTTCTTCCATAAGGCTTTTGTAAACAACCAAAAGAAGTATTCTCAGGTCCTCACATAAAGGAACTTGCTTAGTTTATTTATGGAAGAATGGTTTTGTGTTCATTTAGCCAGTAATATTTTTCCCCCCCACAGGGGAGCTTGTCTTTTTAGACAGTCTTGTTGCATAGCCTTTTGAGCTTAAAATCGTTTGGTCTCAGCCTCCTGAATGCTAGAAGTGTAGGCATAAGTCACTATTTCAGGCCCTTCATAGGATGTATTGGCATGTGTGGCAATATGATATTTACCTGCAGGAGGTTAGTGGTAGTCATTGGCAAGAAACTACTAGAAATGGGAATACTAACAGAATCAAAGGATCATGGGAAGTGTTGCTGAAATGGAGGATCCTAAGCAGCATTCTGGGCCCTTAGAAAGATCAGCCAACCCCTGCGGGCTCTCAGAGGTGCATTCAGGTCATTCTCAGCCTGGTGACTCTGAGTCAGTCAAGAGATGTTAGATGGTTTCCATTCGGTTCTTTATAAGTACACACACACACACACACACACACACACACACACACACTGTGTTTTCATAAACATCCTTCACTCTTTAGAGAAATCCTTGTAGACAGCTTTATTGTATGTATGTTACATATAAGAAGATACTCAGAGAGTTGAAATGAGGCAAGACAAACTCCTAACTGAAGAGCAGTAGAATCAGGGCTTTTTGAACTTAGACCTGAATAACTATAATTACATGCCTCCTATTAACACGGTTCACCATTCACAGCTACCCGCATACTGTAATCTAGCTGTAAAGTTACCCATTTGAAGCCTGGTAAAGTTAAGTCACTAAATATGACGGCTGTTAGTTTGATATGGTAGCTTCTCCTGTCGGTGCTCAGAAAATGGACTAAACACCTGCAATTCTGGCAATTCTGAAGATTTATTTCATTTTGCCACAGTAATTTTTTTTTAACTATCTCCTTTAATTTTCACTGACATTGTAGGTTCTACTGCCAAACTTTGCCACAGGTTTCTACAAAGCTAGATACACAATGAACTATATGGAGTTTTGAGATTGCTTGTTTCAGGAACTAAAAGACAGCAACTATTTCTAGAACACACTGTCATGCCGGGCACTGTCCTAGCACTTGGCAGCATCCTTGCTCTGAAAGAATGTGCCCACCCTTCAGTGAGAGACCTGAGCCCAAGATTGACACCTAGTACCCTACAGCAAGACTGATCTCAAAAGCTAGCAGGCTTGTTCTGGAACCCAAATACCATGATGGCATATGTCACCTTCCTCTAAAATGACCTTAGAAGCATAGGCTTTCAATCCTTGTAATTGAGTGTATCACAACTCTCCTGGCCTCTGTGTAGGTGCTGTTGGTTATGGTGGTTTTGTGTTAGTTTTGGTGCTGGCCACTAAACCCAGGGTCTCATGGCTGCTAGATAAGGATTCTATGATGGAACTAAATCTCCAACCAGTCTTGTATTTATTTACTTTTTCAAACTGAAAATGAGGATAGAGTCACCATGTTATTTTACTGGTCAGTAGAATTAAGCCTAAAGCTTGTAATTTTATATTTGCCCACAAGATGGTGAAATTCTCATTGGTTTTAATTTCTTGAAACCCATATAAATCATTAATTTATAATCTGCATTTGCACTATTTATTATTTTTTTGCAGTCAATCTGCTAGCAAGGCCAAGATTCAAGCAGCATTCAATAAAATGATGAGGTTGAACCATCCAGACCGAGGTAGGTAGTAGCTCCATTTCTACAATCAGATGTGCTGTGGGTTCCTTTCAGTTTACTCAAGCTCGGGTCAGTCATGCATAGCTGCAGGGGGAGCTATGTGTCTCATGGTTTGAGATTTTCCTCATAAGCAGGTGGGCTTGTGGTTCAGAGTTGAGCGACTCAATGGGAATAGTGGATCTGAACTGTTAACTTTGCAGAACTCCATTGCTGGTTTTAGTGATGAGTATGTAAACTCACTACTTTTCCCACATTTTGATCAAGAAGGAAAACACGATGGGTCTGTGGGCTGGAATAAGCTGATTTGCGCATCATCTCTTCTATCTGCTAAGCCTTAAAGATAAAGGCATAAGATTCAGGGATCTCCTCTGCATCTCTGTAGTTTGTCATAGAGGTTGTGGATTTTTAGATTTGTGTAAGAGGGCTCTGTGGCTGAGCTATTTATTTCTCACTGGCCAGGTTTTTAATGTAAATTTATCTTAGAGAAAGACAATTATTATAACTTTAACTACACTACAGCTGCTTGATAGAGAAAGCCCCATATGCTCATTACTGTCTCCGTCTAAAACAGCAGATGGGAGAAAGTCGCACTGTATTTCAGAAGTCAAGGGGGGCAGGAAAGTGAAGGCTTTCTTAGTTTCCTATTTATAGACTTTCAGTTTTGTAATTATTTTGGAAAAAAATAAAAACAAATTTTGGATTCCTATTCATTTTGACATCAAAATAAAGCATTCTTTTTTCAGCTTTCTTAACTTAATTACTTACTATAAAAATTCTTTTCACTGAACATTATCGTCATTGGCTTTGTACTTTCTGTTCTTTAGTATGAATAAACAAGAGAATAAAGAGGTTTTGCTTAAATTTTTTAAAGAGCTTCAGCAGTTACTGGAAGATCCACTCAACTAATTTGCTCTTTATTGTGTGCTTTCAGAGCAATTGACTGAGCAAGAAATGTGTTTGAGTGCCTCCTTCAAGTGCTTTCTCTCATAAATGTCCTCTGCCCCCTCTGGGTCAAGTATATATGCTCTTGGCTCTGATTGATTGCAATAGTATTAATCACTTCTGTCTGTCAGATGATTGACAAGTTATTGGTCATTTCTACCATGAAGGATGCAAGTTGTAAGATGTATCCAAGAGAATGTGTTGATTTACATAAAAATTAAAATGTTTGCATATATTGGAGCCTAGTAGTGCCCAAAATAATGACTTGATTTTTTTCTTAGATGGTATATTTCAAACTTTTAATGCCAGTATGCTTACCAGTACCTTCCTATCTGGTTTTGTGGAGCAACAGAGAGAGAAAGGATGAGCCAGGCAGGCAGGAAGTTGGTATTTTCTGCTAGCATTGTAGCTTTAACGTTCCCTTAATTTCTCCAGATTTCAGTTTTATCATGTATAACACGAAAGGATTTATTCTAAAGTCCTTTTTGTTTATGAAACTTAATGTGATCCTATTTTATACCTATGAAGGAAGAAATTATACTCTGTATTTCTCTTCAGATCACATGTTTAAGACAGATCTCCCAGTCTTTTCAGATTTTGTAACCTTTAAAGGTGCTGTAGGTTAATACCCCTCCCCCACCCCTCCCCCCCACCCCCCCCCACCCCCCAGTAGAATTGCTCATTTGTTCAGTTTGAAACATCTGGAGATTCCTAAGCTCATGGACTTCCAAAAATCCTGTCTGTGGACCAGCTGTTCTGGTTGCTTTTAATTGTCAAAGGGGACAAGCCTGTAGTTTTGCCTGTTTGGATGATCATCTTACTTGTCTCTAGGAATTTTTAAAATTTCTTCTTTGATTTCTTGAATGACCAACTGTTCGTTTCAAAAACTGTATTGCTTAGTGTCTACATATTTCTATAGTTTCTACAGTTTTTCTAAATTCAGTTGATCCATAGTATATTTGACTCTGAAGTGTCTTTGTTCTTTTTTTAGAGTGAGATCTTCTAATATTGTGTTAGCCCAGATGTATGTGGCCTTTTTTGCCTTTTAAGTGTTTGTCTTATGAAATTAGAGGCTCCAGTATTTGATGCATAAATGTTTACAATTATATCTGGATGAATGGTTCCCTTTTTAAACATGTAATGTCCCCTTTATCTCTTCTGATTAGTGTTGATTTATCTTGTATAAAGATAGATATGTCTGCTTCCTTCAATTTCCAGTTGCTGAAGCTTGTTTTCTATCCTTTGATGTTGAGTTTTGGGATATCTCTCCTTCTTAAGTGTGTTTCTTGGAGACAGCATATAGTTGGTCCTGTTTTTCCATCTGGTCCGTTCCTCTGTCTTCTTAAGTGAGTTGAGGCCATGCACATTTACGATTACTATAGGAAGGGGTTTGGGCTTTCCAGTCAATTTGCTAGGTGCTGCTTTGTTTTGGTAGGTTATTGGTATTTCTTTTTATTTTCCTGTGTTCTAAGGGTTTGCTGCATTGCTGTGTTCAATATGGCAGTTTCTTTCCCAGGTCTACTGTGTTCTTCAGTTACTTTTTCCCCCCTCGGGCATTTCTACCATCTCTTTAGTTTTGGGCCCCTTCATAGGGACGTTGCTTAGCTGGGTCTAGGCATGGTGGTTGTCATGTTCCTAGTCTTGTCATGTTTTTTTTTAAATGTTTATTTATTTGTTATGTATACAATATTCTGTCTGTGTGTATGCCTGCAGGCCAGAAGAGGGCACCAGACCTCATTACAGATGGTTGTGAGCTACCATGTGGTTGTGGGAATTGAACTCAGGACCTTTGGAAGAGCAGGCAGTGCTCTTAACCACTGAGCCGTCTCTCCAGCCTCTTGTCATGTTTTTGCATCTGCTAGAGTAGGTTTGTCTTTCAGTTTTGATTTCTCTTTCTCAGATGATCTGGGGAGGAAGAAAAAAAAACTTGAAAGAAATCCAGGCAGTGGCAAGACCAACCTGGTCTACAAAGGGAGTTCCAGGACAGCCAGAGTTACATAGAGAAACCTGTCTTAAACAAATAAAGAAAAAAAAAACTTGAAAGAAAGCTAAGTAAAAGGAGAGATAGTGTAAGGTGAAAACATGCTCAACATTTTTAACTAAGTGTACATTATGATATTTAAGCACTGTTGAATCTATAGGAAATACTCCATTTGTTTTGGGATCAAACTCAGGGACTCATAGGACTCACCTCCTGAAATTAGTTTCTTTCCTCTTCAATCTAAATTTATGTTTTTAATCATTTTAAAATGTGTGCTAATAGAAGCAGTATAATTCTTGTAACATTGTGTTTACATATTCTTTTACAATCATAGTGTTAAAATGTAATTGTTTTATATTTTTATTTCTACTCTGGCATAGTAAAAACTACACACATTCTCATGTCAGCCTCATATTCATTTTCTTATCATATGTACTTTTGTTTAATAAAGAAAATATGACTTTACACACATGGGTAGTTGGGAAAGGAAAGAGCAATTGTTTTCAGGATGCTTGGGGAGACTCTTTGTTACCACTGAACCAGAATTCAGCAGTGGTGGGGTTTTTTTTATTATTACAAATTTTCACCTTCTACCCTCCTCTCATTTCCCTCCCCCTTTTCCCCAATCCCCCTCCACCTCCCTCTCCAGTCCAAAGAGCAGTCAGGGTTCACTGCCCTGTGGGAAGTCCAAGTTCCCCCACCACCACCATCCAGGTCTAGGAAGGTGAGCATCCAAACAGACTAGGTTCCAATGGTGCTTTCTTAAGATTAGTTGCATTTGGAATCTAAAACCATAATCCAGCTACCCCAGAGGCTGAGATCTTTAACCTGCCAGAGCAAGTTCAAGGCCAGGCTGGCTGCCATAGAACACTTTGTCTTGGTTTTTTTTTTTTTTTTTTTTTTTTTTGCTTGGTTGGTTGGTTGGTTGGTTGGTTGGTTTTTGTTGTTTGTGTGTGGGGTGGGTTGAGATATTGCTCAGTGGTGGAGCACTTCTGTAGTATGTACAAAACCTCTAGATTCAATCCCCTTCACTACAAAATTAGTACCAAGTCAAAAAAAAAAAAACATAGAAAGTGAAACATGTGTCCAGATAGAAGGGAGAGATGGGGTGTCCAGGTGTAAAAAACTCAAATATTTACAAACTAAAAAAGGGAAATCCAGCCAAAGAGATGGAGGGAAGAAATAATGTAATAGAAGATGAGACGGGAGTACATCTAGGAAACTCACTGCACCGAGTGCTACTGTGGTACCAGTAAGCTGAGGCTGGGCAAGGGGCACACCAGGTCTTGGTTTTGATACTAGAAGAATCTGTGCCAGGCGGTGGTGGGGCACACCTTTAATCACAGCACTTGGAAGACATAGGAAAACAGATCTCTGAGTTTGGGCCAGCCTGATCTACAGAGCGAGTTCCAGGACAGCCAGGGCTACACAGAGAAACCCTGTCTCAGAGAAATGAAAAAGATGAAGGGAGGGAGGAAGAAAGGAAGGAAGGAAGGAAGGAAAGAAAGAAAGAAAGAAAGAAAGAAAGAAAGAAGACTTGTGACTTTATAGACAGTTTGAGCTGGCCCTGATTTAGAAGTGAAAATACTTAGACAACTTTTTTTTTTTTTTGAGGTTTGTGAGGAAATGGAGTGAGCTGCAAGAATACTGTGGCAATTCAGCAGAGAATGCAGGGAGACAGTGCTAATTTTGAGCAAGCTTGTGTATCAGTGGAGATTAATGAGTTAGAAGAGATTACACTCAAATCAACATAAATGTTCTTTTAGGTTCCTGAATCAATTGTATAAATATAGGACAAGAATTTGGCAGTGTTTGATGTGAAAAAGCACCATGGATATATAAGTTGCTCTCAAAGCCTGCAGGGCTCCTTAGTATAAAATCTACAAAAAAAATGTGTGTAGTCTTCATTTGCACGAAGGACATACAGTGTCTTTATTACATATAGCCCAAGAACTACCACGACCCTCTTCTCATTCTCCACTCAGCTGGCATCTGCTCACACAGTGCTGCTGGCTCTACAGGATGTCTTTAAACACACCTTGTTGAGATAGGTGTTGGTATTCATTGAGTTAGAGTGTGC